AATGGGATATAGGATCTAGTAGTTCTACATGGTACATGGAAATTAAGCTGACTCAACAAGTCAGCACTTTCCACATCACCATGTATAAGGTTAAAAATAAAGGCTATCCCTAGCATCGTTCTACGATTGGCTAAGGACGGCAAGTTTATTAATAGGAGTCTACTAGAGTAGGAAGGTAATCTTTAGTTTGCATCCCAATTTAAACCGCGTAGAGCGAAAAGTAAAAAATTCTTTTGAACCGACTCAATGCGTTTACTATGGACGCCATACTGAGGGCTCCAAACGCAGCATCCATATTCTAAGATAGGACGAACTAAAGAAGTATATAAGGATTTAACATAGGGGTCATTGAATTCCTTCGAACACCGTTTAATAAATCCAAGCACACCCCTGGCTCTATTCACCATACACGAAATATGATGAATAAAGTCAAGTTTTGGGTCCAAGCGGACGCCCAAATTATCAACAGAATTAATTCTTTCCAAACAACAGCAGTTCAGCGTGTAAGTAGCAAGCTTTGGAACGACACGAGAGAATGTCATTAGCTTGCATTTCGAGCCATTAAAGTTTAATAAGTTTACACGGCACCAAGTTTGAAAATTATTGAGATCTGTTTGTAAATCCGACTGGCAGGCAACGTCATTGTATTGCATGCAAAGCTTGACGTTATCCGCGTACATTCAGATAACTTGAGTTCCAATTAAGAAGATCACTTGGAAAACCCATTAAATTAAGTTTTCTAACGAGGAGAGAATGGTTAACTAAACTGAAACCAGTATAGATTACATCTGTCTGAAAATTATTATGGAAGCCCTTTATAATATAGGAAGAGAGCTCCAAAAGATTTGTTGTTGTTGATCTTCGCTTAATAAAAATATGTTGACATGGAGAAATAACTGATCTACAAAGGTGCTGTACGTGAGGGGTGATAATGTTTTCAAACCATTTAGGGATGGCCGACAACTTAGAGATTCCTCTATAATTGCTGGCATCCAATTTGCTACCTTTTTTGTGGAGAGGAATAATAAACGATTCCTTCCAAATAATGGGAAAGTTTTTAAGGTTTCTAAGGACAAGGTAAACAATTTCAGAAGGGGATAGCACAGGGCGTGCCCGGGCGTCGGCACGGTAGATCTCAGCCCCTACGCCACAGCTCATCGTGGAGCCATCGGTGTAGAGGGACACCACTACTACCACTTTGTCCCTGCTCCAGTCTTCCCTTGTTGGATATGAGGTCGAGAATGAGTTCCCGAAGTTCAACTCCGCGGTCATGTAGTCCGTTTTTTCGATGGATTTACAGCGTTGCTTTCAACAATCTTGCCGTTCACGACCACGTAGTCCTTCCTGCGATTGCTTGCCTTCAGTTTCACTAGTCTCCGTGTTGCAATGTCCTTTACGAACAGTTCTATCGGCATTATATTCAGGATAGCATTGAGGGCAGCCGCGTGGCATGGGCCCGTTGTTCCCACGGCCCCCGCACTCGGTGCTCGTTGTATCCGTATCAGCTTCGATCTGTTGTATCCCCTAGTTAGGGCGGCCACCATACTAGGGCCCCGTATGTTAGTATTGACCGTTCCACTGCTGGGCGGAGCCATTTAATAATCTTTGGGTGTAGTCCCATTTGTTTCCAAACGTTTTCCTGCAGGACATTTTCCTAACTCTTTCTGGAATGTTTTTACCTCCGTGAGAGCTTTTTGTCTAGTATCACTCCTAGAAACTTAGCTTGCTTCGCTAGTTTTAGCTCCATGCCATTTACACTGCGCATGTTGAAAGATGGTATCTTGGTTCTTATTGCGAAGTGCATTGGTTTTATTAGGATTGATACCTAGTCCTCAGGTTTTTGTCCATATGTTTAAGTGACCTAGCGCACCTTTTATTATTTCGATGATAACGTCAGGATATGGTCCTGATACTAGCAGTACTACGTCGTCTACACATGCAACTCCTTTAACTTTATGAGCCAGAGTAGGGGCGATAGAACCTCGCCCTGAGGTGTGCGGTAAGTGCCACTCAGTTTGGCTGTGTTCGTCCTGCTCTTTAGCATAACCCCGATCCACTCTCTAATGCCTTTTTCAATACCTAGCAAGTTGAGGGAGCACAGAATGGAGTCGGGGTTCACGTTATTGAACGCGCCTTCGCCTTCTAGGAAGGCACTCATCGTGTATTGCTTGTGTTGTAATGTCTTCTCGACATTATGTACAACTTTGTGTACTGCTGTTTCCGTTGACTTGCCTTAGTGTTGCGCATCCAAAAGTTGATGTCCCATCAAGCGTTTCTCAGATTTGGACGTCCAGGAGTCTCTCTAGTGTCTTCAGGGCGAAGGAGGTGAGACTTATCGGTCTGAATCCTTTGCTAGGATGCCCCCCTTTGCCTTGTCCGTTATGTCTTCCAGTGTCTTGCAGTAGCTTTGACAGGATACTTTCTTCGCATTAACATATATACTGCCGTTTTGTATGCTTTTTGTGCTTATTTGTATAGTTCCCATTTTCGGGTTATATAGCTTGTTTTGAAGGACATTCGCGCTCTCTTTCTGTGATCGCTCAGTTCTTTTGTTCACCACTGCTTCTTCGAGAATGTTGTTCAGGATGTTCGTAAGGTCCTCCACCTCCTTGTCGAGTGCCCTTGAGGAGGATTGTAACGTAATCCTCCTGCCGTTTACTTTACATTGAAAAGTTTCGATGAATTTATTCCAATCTGTCTTACGGGGGTTTCTTCTTCACACTTGTTGGTGCCGTTAGGTAAAAGAAAATGTACCTGTGATCTGAGAAAGTGTGTTGTGTCGATACCGTCCAATTCAAAACTTTTTATATACCTTGTTTGATTTGCAAGGTGAGATAGGTAGCGTCAGGAGATTTGTCGTCGATGACCATGTCGTCCAACAGTTTTTTGGGGTCATCGACCTCCTCCAATATCTCGTCCGGCTCGGTCATTGGTCTCCAGCTGAGGCAGACAACGGTGGTTGATCAGCAGCAGAAAAGGCTGGCTCGCCCTCATTTCCTGCTCCGCTCTGAGGATGGTTTAGTCCTCTGTATGGATGTCTGGGTTCTGGGCCCTCAGACAGGCAATCACCCTGACATGGTCAGTCTAGCCTAATCTTATGGCCAACCCATGTGTCGCTGATCTTAGCCACACACTCCGCCCGGAAACTTCGGGAGAACCCGTCGTCACACCTGATGACCCGGTGCTCTCTGACAACGTCTGAGGAGTCGAAGGAGGGGATGGGGCCGGTCGGCATGCTAGCCAAGCTGTCGGTTACCATGTCGGCCAACTTGGCCTTGATATCCTCCCGCTTCTCCGACAGCAGGCGACCGTCGTCATGAAGCTCGTCCGCCAGTACCATAGCCAGACTGTCTCTGGCCACCTCGCTAAATTTCTTTGCCTGGCTGACAAAGTTAGTCTCTCGCGGCTTACCCTGTGGGTCCATCGCTCTCTTAGGTGCGCTTTCGCTCACTTCCTGTGAGCAAATTCGCTTCGCCTTGGAGGGCTGGAACGCCGACGGGTTTGCCGCTCTGAATTGCTCGAGTTCCGTGATCTCCGCAAGGAATTTAGCCTTGTCCTCGGCATCCCGAGGGTCAGTCTTGCCCTCAGCCTCGTTCTTGGCTATCTTGCCGAGAACGAAGCGGGCTCTGTTGACCCTCGCTCGTCTCTGAAGGTGAGACATTTTCGCCATCTCTGAGGTGGTTCCCAGCTGAGCCCCACCTGTGTGTTTAGATTGGGGAGTGCTACTTGCCCTCCCCTCGGATTGCGACTCTTCCTCGTCGGTCTCCGATGCAATGTGAGATGCAGCGACCAATCTCGGCCTCTGCATCTCCTTCTCGTCCTTCGTTGACATTTTTTGGGGTTTATCCTCTCCCGGGAGTTCCAAAGCTCGGTTTGTAGTATTAATTTCATTGCATGAACGCCCACTTTGCTCGACCTGGCAAGCGCAGCGGGCCAGAGGGGGGTTGGGGCTTTGAAAACAGGTCAACCGCAGCTTCGCCCCAAAACTGCAGAAAGGCCACTAACGATCCAGGGTTGCCTGGCCCTGGGAAGGCTCCAGCTGGATGAGCCCCTCAGCTGCGAACCTCGAAGTCAGTGTGCACGGGTCGCGGCACACACTTGACTTGAGGGGATGCTGATTAAAGATTTGCCTAGGTCCGCCCGACTACAATTGGTCAGCATCCCAGGTCGAACCCCGACTAGGGAACTGCTTCTAGCCGCCCGCACTTGGAGAGTATAGTCGCAATACCGATGGTACAAACAGTTACGGCAGATGACTCGGTCATCCGTTAATCCCCCTGTGTACCCTATCGAGGGACGGCTTTAATATACATAATTTGTTTCTTTTTTTTGGCTACTCTATTCGCAATATACATAATTTGTTTCTTTTTTTGGCTAGTCTATTCGCAAGCATATTCTCTCCGAGCTATATTTTCGAAAGAAAAGAAAAGAATAGGATGAAATTGATAATTGTACGCAAATATCTTGGACACTTATTATAGTTAAATATAAATGCTGTTCTAATATATTCATTATTATTTATTCGCAAAATGTATACATACATGCCTACTACTATACTTTAATGTTTAAATACTTAGATACTAAGAATATTTAGAAACAACAAGAGATAAAATAATGAACACTTAAAACCAAAACCAAAGAACTCTTTTGATGTATACATTGTCGTAGGGTGTAAATGGGGTCACCAGAGATATCCTCTGAGGAAGGTGATCATAGCATGGGATAGATGCGACTTCTTTCTGACTTTCTCACTATATTTCTCATTATTCTACTTCCTTCTCGAATTTATTTATTCTCATTCCCAGTAATGTTAAATTGAGCTCTCAGTTGTCGCTAATTCGCTAATTCGCTAGGGGCATCACCCATCTCCGGCGGACCGGAGCCTATTCCAGGCGGTCTGGCGACCGACCCATTTCCCTCAGGTAAACTGGTCTACTCAATTTTCATGATAATATTTTATTTCAATTTATTTTATTTACAAACATATACTTCTTTTTGCTATGGGTCATCACCCCACTCCCGGCAAGAGCGTGGCCTTAGCCAGGGATGCGCTTGCGCCAAGGCTGCTTCTATTGGGGACGTAAAACTCCCGGAGGAGAAGCCCTTTAAATTATGTTTCCCTCTTTAGTCCCTAATCCCTGATGGAGCTCCAATAGAAATATAGGGGTATGGGTGTTCGCAACAAAAAAGCAGAGCAAGAAAAACGATCGGCTTCTACTCCGTTCCCCTTTTGGTCACAGCGCTCGTGTTGCACCAATCCCGGACCCAGGATACGGTCGAGCGGAGGAACGAATGTAATACTAAACAGTTAATAGTATCCTTACTAGCTCCAATAGCTCCGGCTACTGTGCTACGGCTGCAAGGGCGGCGGCAAGGCGGCCCTACGGCGGCTCCGGCTACTGCGCAGGCTGCTCTGGTAATGGCTCCGGCTACGGCTCCGGCTGCTCTGGTGATGGCTCCGGCAACGGCTCCGGCTGCTCTGGTGATGGCTCCGGCTACGGCTCCGGCTGCTCTGGTGATGGCTCCGGCTGCTCTGGTGATGACACCTGCTACGGCTCCGGCTGCTCTGGTGATGACTCCGGCTACGGCTCAAGTGGCGCTACGCGAGGCGGCGGCAAGCGCGACTCCGGCTACTGCGCAGGCTCAGGCGGTGTAGCGGCTCTCTGGCGGCACTGAGGCGACGGAACTGAGGCGGCTCTGGGCTACGGAATGGAGGCGGCGGCACTGAGCCGGCGGAACTGAGGTGGCGGTACTGAGGCGGCTCTGGGCTACGGAATCGAGGCGCCGGCACTGACGACGATCGGTCACGTCGTCCACCTTTTCCTCGTGGTCACGTTCGTTCTTCCCGACTTTTTCACAAAATCCGTCGCACACGTTTTCATCCACAATTTTACTCCGGGTTTTTTCATTAGTACCTGCATTTATAGCCCCGGTTCCTTCCCTCTGTTCCAGAGGTCCAGCCGTTACTTTTCCTATTCCTTCATTGCCTTTGCCGAGAGAAAGGGCAAGAACCCTTTCTCTTAGGCCGCATTCGAACTTCCCGGTTCGCTCATTTTCCTCGCCCCCTCCTGGTCCTACCAATTCTACCTGTTCCTATCGATACATCGATAGTCCTTCAGTCCGTTCCCACCCGAAATGCAACATGCTGCACAGCACAGTCTAACAGTTTTGAGAAATCATCTACACCATATTAAAACATGTAGTTTTGAAAACAAAACGCAAAAGAAGATAAAAACTAGAAAGGAAGCTAACTTCTGCACGCCGAAGTTTATATACCCTTGCAGATAGAACTTCGATGACTAGGAATCCATACAATATAAATTATATATATTTATGTTAAAAAACAATTAAGTAATACCTGCTTTCATTTCATTCACCTCTAGATATTATATTTGCAATTTTACATTCAAAGATTTGCATTTTCCTGTACAACAAACGATCGTTTGTATGCCACCTATATGATATAGTCGTCCGATTTTCATGCATTGGCCACCAAATTTAAGACTTATATAACATTTAATGAAAATCAGCTGAAAACTGAAAAAGTTATAAATTTAATTGTATTAATTTCTCGATCGTTCCTATGGTAGCTATATGATATAGTAGTCTGATTTCCATAAAATTTTACACGAAATTTTAGAGTAAAATAGAATGGATATATCTAAAATTTGATTAAATTCTGTTGAAAACTGAAAATGTTATAATTTTTTTTGTAAACATTTTCCGATCGTTTCTATGGCAGCTATATGATATAGTCGTCTGATCAGGCCCGTTCCGACATATATATGAGTGAATGTATATAGAAGACTAACTACAAAGTTTCATTCAAATAGCTTCAAAACTGAGAGACTAGTTTGGGTAGAAACGGACGGACGGACAGACGGACATGGCTAGATCGCCTCGGCTGTTGATCCTGATCAAGAATATATATACTTTATATGTTCGCAGGTGCATGGCTAGATCGACTTGGCTGTTGATCCTGATCAAGAATGTATGTACTTTATATGTTCGCAGGTGCTTTCTTCACTGCGTTGCAAACTTTTGCCTGATATTATAAGTACTTTAAGGTATACCTGCAGCGCTCATTTCTAATGACTGTAAGTTCCACAAATAATGAGATATTTTTAAATAATCTAATAAGTTTCTTCAAAAAATAGAATTTGTATCTCAGTGTAATAAGCGAATATGGATATTTCATTTGCTAATGTTTGCTTTAATATTATGGACATTGATGCATTACGGTCAGTACAGCCAAGTGGCCCGTATGACACCAGGCACGTGCCTGTTTGGGTTAGGTGTTCGTAGGCGCGATGGAAAATATAGGACAGAATACGAGGAAATTGACTACCGGCGTCCTGCCAGATTGTTAGCTTGCATGTTAGCTACGTGTGTTAGTATTAAAGATTTTAATGTGGGAAGGATATCTATGTTAGAAATTAGTGTGTACAAATCATTATAATTTGCACATAGCACTCTAAAAGGTTCATGCTGTTCAAAGGAGGTTCTACAGTGGCGCAACACTAATGGGATATAGGATCTAGTAGTTCTACATGGTACATGGAAATTAAGCTGACTCAACAAGTCAGCACTTTCCACATCACCATGTATAAGGTTAAAAATAAAGGCTATCCCTAGCATCGTTCTACGATTGGCTAAGGACGGCAAGTTTATTAATAGGAGTCTACTAGAGTAGGAAGGTAATCTTTAGTTTGCATCCCAATTTAAACCGCGTAGAGCGAAAAGTAAAAATTCTTTTGAACCGACTCAATGCGTTTACTATGGACGCCATACTGAGGGCTCCAAACGCAGCATCCATATTCTAAGATAGGACGAACTAAAGAAGTATATAAGGATTTAACATAGGGGTCATTGAATTCCTTCGAACACCGTTTAATAAATCCAAGCACACCCCTGGCTCTATTCACCATACACGAAATATGATGAATAAAGTCAAGTTTTGGGTCCAAGCGGACGCCCAATTATCAACAGAATTAATTCTTTCCAAACAACAGCAGTTCAGCGTGTAAGTAGCAAGCTTTGGAACGACACGAGAGAATGTCATTAGCTTGCATTTCGAGCCATTAAAGTTTAATAAGTTTACACGGCACCAAGTTTGAAAATTATTGAGATCTGTTTGTAAATCCGACTGGCAGGCAACGTCATTGTATTGCATGCAAAGCTTGACGTTATCCGCGTACATTCAGATAACTTGAGTTCCAATTAAGAAGATCACTTGGAAAACCCATTAAATTAAGTTTTCTAACGAGGAGAGAATGGTTAACTAAACTGAAACCAGTATAGATTACATCTGTCTGAAAATTATTATGGAAGCCCTTTATAATATAGGAAGAGAGCTCCAAAGATTTGTTGTTGTTGATCTTCGCTTAATAAAAATATGTTGACATGGAGAAATAACTGATCTACAAAGGTGCTGTACGTGAGGGGTGATAATGTTTTCAAACCATTTAGGGATGGCCGACAACTTAGAGATTCCTCTATAATTGCTGGCATCCAATTTGCTACCTTTTTTGTGGAGAGGAATAATAAACGATTCCTTCCAAATAATGGGAAAGTTTTTAAGGTTTCTAAGGACAAGGTAAACAATTTCAGAAGGGGATAGCACAGGGCGTGCCCGGGCGTCGGCACGGTAGATCTCAGCCCCTACGCCACAGCTCATCGTGGAGCCATCGGTGTAGAGGGACACCACTACTACCACTTTGTCCCTGCTCCAGTCTTCCCTTGTTGGATATGAGGTCGAGAATGAGTTCCCGAAGTTCAACTCCGCGGTCATGTAGTCCGTTTTTCGATGGATTTACAGCGTTGCTTTCAACAATCTTGCCGTTCACGACCACGTAGTCCTTCCTGCGATTGCTTGCCTTCAGTCTCACTAGTCTCCGTGTTGCAATGTCCTTTACGAACAGTTCTATCGGCATTATATTCAGGATAGCATTGAGGGCAGCCGCGTGGCATGGGCCCGTTGTTCCCACGGCCCCCGCACTCGGTGCTCGTTGTATCCGTATCAGCTTCGATCTGTTGTATCCCCTAGTTAGGGCCGGCCACCATACTAGGGCCCCGTATGTTAGTATTGACCGTTCCACTGCTGGGCGGAGCCATTTAATAATCTTTGGGTGTAGTCCCCATTTGTTTCCAAACGTTTTCCTGCAGGACATTTTCCTAACTCTTCTGGAATGTTTTTACCTCCGTGAGAGCTTTTTGTCTAGTATCACTCCTAGAAACTTAGCTTGCTTCGCTAGTTTTAGCTCCATGCCATTTACACTGCGCATGTTGAAAGATGGTATCTTGGTTCTTATTGCGAAGTGCATTGGTTTTATTAGGATTGATACCTAGTCCTCAGGTTTTTGTCCATATGTTTAAGTGACCTAGCGCACCTTTTATTATTTCGATGATAACGTCAGGATATGGTCCTGATACTAGCAGTACTACGTCGTCTACACATGCAACTCCTTTAACTTTATGAGCCAGAGTAGGGGCGATAGAACCTCGCCCTGAGGTGTGCGGTAAGTGCCACTCAGTTTGGCTGTGTTCGTCCTGCTCTTTAGCATAACCCCGATCCACTCTCTAATGCCTTTTTCAATACCTAGCAAGTTGAGGGAGCACAGAATGGAGTCGGGGTTCACGTTATTGAACGCGCCTTCGCCTTCTAGGAAGGCACTCATCGTGTATTGCTTGTGTTGTAATGTCTTCTCGACATTATGTACAACTTTGTGTACTGCTGTTTCCGTTGACTTGCCTTAGTGTTGCGCATCCAAAAGTTGATGTCCCATCAAGCGTTTCTCAGATTTGGACGTCCAGGAGTCTCTCTAGTGTCTTCAGGGCGAAGGAGGTGAGACTTATCGGTCTGAATCCTTTGCTAGGATGCCCCCCTTTGCCTTGTCCGTTATGTCTTCCAGTGTCTTGCAGTAGCTTTGACAGGATACTTTCTTCGCATTAACATATATACTGCCGTTTTGTATGCTTTTTGTGCTTATTTGTATAGTTCCCATTTTCGGGTTATATAGCTTGTTTTGAAGGACATTCGCGCTCTCTTTCTGTGATCGCTCAGTTCTTTTGTTCACCACTGCTTCTTCGAGAATGTTGTTCAGGATGTTCGTAAGGTCCTCCACCTCCTTGTCGAGTGCCCTTGAGGAGGATTGTAACGTAATCCTCCTGCCGTTTACTTTACATTGAAAAGTTTCGATGAATTTATTCCAATCTGTCTTACGGGGGTTTCTTCTTCACACTTGTTGGTGCCGTTAGGTAAAAGAAAATGTACCTGTGATCTGAGAAAGTGTGTTGTGTCGATACCGTCCAATTCAAAACTTTTTATATACCTTGTTTGATTTGCAAGGTGAGATAGGTAGCGTCAGGAGATTTGTCGTCGATGACCATGTCGTCCAACAGTTTTTTGGGGTCATCGACCTCCTCCAATATCTCGTCCGGCTCGGTCATTGGTCTCCAGCTGAGGCAGACAACGGTGGTTGATCAGCAGCAGAAAAGGCTGGCTCGCCCTCATTTCCTGCTCCGCTCTGAGGATGGTTTAGTCCTCTGTATGGATGTCTGGGTTCTGGGCCCTCAGACAGGCAATCACCCTGACATGGTCAGTCTAGCCTAATCTTATGGCCAACCCATGTGTCGCTGATCTTAGCCACACACTCCGCCCGGAAACTTCGGGAGAA